CTTCAGTTTTATGCGAGTGAGGTAAGTAAATCATGGTAAAGGCCTTCGGTTTTAAAGTATGTTTTAAATTGTTTTGAGATGGTGGCAATGTTTAAATTGATTTTATCAGCATCTGAGTGTGATTTAACTGAAATGAAAATTGTGATGATTTTTATGAAAATTATTATTTTCTGGAATTGAGCATGATTGGAATGAAAATGAGAATTTCATTGTTTTTCTGGAGTTGAGCATGCCCACATGAAATTGTTTTTCATTTGCGTTGGGTAGAGCATGCCTATTTGGAATTGACTGAACTGCTTTGATGAACTGAGAGTTTTGTAAATTCTGAGCTTTTCTGTTAAATTCATGCTCACATGGAAATTTTTCGGTTTATTTCTGAAATTGGAGATTGATTGTGAATTTCGGATTTTTCTGTAAATCCTGCATGGTTTTGTCTCTGATATAGTCATGATTACTGACGCCCGCTAGTGGGAGTTGCAAACGCTAGCACATGTTGACATGTATTTCTGTAGAACCGGTTCATCCTGCCAATGGGATAATACATTGGTAATTACTGACGCCTGCCAGTGGGAGTTTGTTAAACACTGGTACTACTGACGCCTGCCAATGGGCGAATACATTGGTAATTACTAACGCCTGCCAGTGGGAGTTGTTAAACACTGGTACCATTACTAACGCCTGCCAGTGGGAGTTTGTTAAACATTGGTACTTCTGTAACCCTACCAATGGGGTTAAACATTGGTTACTACTGTGCCCGCCAGTGGGAGGTTTATAAACGCTGGCCATGACTTATAGATGAGACTACTACTGAATTTTCTTCTGCATTAATGATTTGTCATGAAACATTTTGTTATTGAACTGAATTTAATTCTGTTTTAACGGTTTATCATTGAACGTTTTGTTATGTTAAACTGTTTATCAGGCATGCTAAAAGTTTTACCCAAGGACTATCCATATTTTACTTACTGAGATATTTTATCTCATAGTTTTCCTTGTCCACCATTTTAGGAAGCGAAACCGAGGACAAGGAAACCGAGGGGAGTGACAAGGTAGAAGGCTAGCCATCCTAATTGAATATAAGTTTTAGATGTTATCATCCTTTTGTAAGGTAGATTTATTCTTGAGATTTTGTGATTTGAAGAAGTTCCGAGCCTTGTGCACTTGTGGGACCCGTCTCATGAGTGCACGGCGTCTGCCACGTCCCCAGATTTGGGTTCTGGGGCGTGACAAAAACTTTTCCATTAATTTCACAAGCATTCTGATACCCATTTCTTCTATAGTATTGTTGATGAGTGGCAATCTCTAAAAAGTTGTAACACATCTTCCCTTGCATTGTCACATCTTGGACAACTCTCATCTTACTTTAGTTCTCTTGCCACCCTTGAGTAGTTAGTTAAGATCTAGTCATGCATCAAGAGCAAAGCAATATCTTGTTCTTAGGTGATGCACAAACTCTCCATAATCTCTTCCAAGCCCTTGCCACAACTAAAGAATTAGTGAGTCTAATTCCTAAGCTCAGCTGATGGAGAACATATTTGAATTGGAATTTTCAAGTATATCTCTTCTAGCCTTGAGCTGCTAGACTCCACATTAACAAGATTCAATTAGTAGATGATACCTTGTGATAAAACTTGGCTTAAAAAGCTTAAATCCCATTCTTAACCATTTCAGTAATCAATCATTGTTTTCTTTAGTCCTTGCTTTGTCAAATATATAAAATAGCAGAAGATAAGGCTGATCCATCCTAGATCATAATTTTGCTTGGAGTTTTAGATGATATAGTACTCTCTCTATCGTTCAATTTAGGACATGAATATTAAAATGATAGAAACAATTCTATCAATTTAAATGATGTAAAACTAGTTACAACAATACTATAGCTACAATATTATAGTTACAAGTAAAAGTATGACAACTAAAGTTGAATTGAAGGAAGTATTACGGCCATGGGCAGAGCTGTGAAGAGATTAGGAAGGGTTATAGACCCTGGTCTTTTGAAATTTTTTTAAATTAGTCCTCAAATTTTATATTTTACCAATTTCATCCTTAAATTTTATTTTATTAACCTAATTATTTTTAATATTTATGAAAATAATTATTATTAGTCTTTTTGTAAATCTTGTATTAAGTTCAAAACAGAATATTCACTTAACAATTAAGGATTCTTTAAGGCTAATCTCTTAAATATAAAATTGTCTTTTAATTTCTAATATTTTTAGCCTAAAAATAGGTTAGAAAATCTCTTAACCTTTTACATTCTCCACCTCGTCCTCCTTCTTGCTCTATTTTTGGGAAAACTTTAGATTATCATCTTTGTAGTGCTTAAAATTAGTCTAAAATATTCATTCTAGTAACTAACATCTATTTTTTTTCATGGTCAAATATTAAAACTTTACCTCTAATTCATAATTTTTTCCTGGGTTAAATCTATTTATTTTATTTTGTCATTTCTTGTAATTATTTTTTATATGTTTCTAAATTTTTTACATTTTTTTTAGATGTGTTTTATTTCATGGATTTTTTCTTCCACAAATACAACTAGATAATTATTGGCCAAAACCCCTATTTGCACCCTTCATTTATTTCTTTTCCGCAGTCAACACCTTCCAGAATTTTTTCTCCCTATTCACACCTTCCACCTTTTAAAACCCGTAAAAAACTCAACATTTTAACGGACCGTCACGGCACCATTAAAAAATGCACTATGTGGCACCCAAAAATTGACGTGGCACATGCGACGTTTCCTTATTCGTTAAATTCAGATGTGGATTTGCTTTTGGATGATGTGGCTTCTTTCTGCACACCTGGTGTCCACGTGTGCAGTGGGACCCACTGCACAGGACTTGTCCCTGCGTCCCCCCACCAAAAAAAAAAAAAAAGAAATTTGAACAGGAGCTCTGGGTTCCTCGCTGAACCTAGAGCTGGGTTCTGTGAGGAACTCGATTTGGGTTCCTCCGGAGGAACCCAGCGGGAGACCCAGGGCTCCTGTTCAAATTTTTTTCCTTATT